GAAAAGAATGGAGCAGGATTTTAAAGTCTAAATTTCTAAAGCAGAAGCTGAGGATATGAAATGCATGTCACTTGTAAAAGTCTTATTTCTCCTAATGCACAGAAAGTACCACAGAGAGGCCAGTGCAGAAGGGAAGACTGTTTCAGCTTGTCAGGGTTCCCCTGCAAGTGTTCCCTCGAGTGGGATGGCTTCACCTTGGGAAGTCCAGTGCAATGCCCTTCTGGCACTAGCCATCCTCTCTCCCTTAATGACACTAATTTAGCAATGAACCCTCTTAACATTGAGACTAATCTAGCAAGGATCTTTGCGTTCACTTTTGCCTAGCTTGCTGCTCAGGATAAAATAAGCAGAGATTTTCCTAAGCTGTAAGTGACGGTGAAACTGAGTTGCTTATACACTAATCCAGTGCTAGTTTTTCAAAAAAAACCTGAGTGGACTTTTAGTGGGTATCTTTTTCACAACTACTTTCAGACTTGTCAACTACAGACCAAGTAAGTTTTATAGCCTCATTCTTTGACTGTAAAGAAGCCTTTTTAGGCCAAGAAAGTGAATGATTCAGGAAATCCCATGGATGTTTGACTGCCATCAAATCAAGGAACTTCAAGGCCTTCTCTGGAGCACACTGGTTTTGTATTAGCTTACCAGACAAGCAGAATTGCTCTTACACTGATGAATATTTTTTGTGAGACAGGAGTAAAATATGAATGAGATGCAATAGCATCTTCCATCAAAGACATGGGAATCTCTGAGATTCCAGTGCTTTTGTGGTGATTGATTTTGTTTGTTTACTTTTTATTAAGCTGTTTGTGCATAGCAAAAAACCCCAATATGTGGCCCAGACCTCAGGCTGTTCTGAGGATGGTGTTGTTTTGGTTTTTGGGGATGTGTGTTTGTGGTTTTGGTGTTGGGCTTTTTTAATCTTTCTTTCTATGGGTTGTGGATGAAGCAATTCAATAGAGAATCAAGTTTGGAGAAGTCTTTAAGCGGTGTAGATGTTTTATGAGGGACAGTGTAATGCTCTGAAGTCTGAGAGCATTTGTTTGGGTTTTTTCGTGGCCTAAAAGCAGAAGACTGCATAATACTTAAACCATTTCCAAAGATGTTGATATTCAGGAGTTCTTCTGGGAGTTTTTTGAACCACAATGAGAGAGCATGTAAGTGTGACATAAACAGGGTGGGTGTCCTAAGGTGTATCCTTCATGGGCTGTGCTGCAAGTGAAGGTGTGGAGCAGTGTCTGGAGGACAAGCCTGTGGGGCAATAGTGGCATTCTGAAAAATGTGTGTGAGAATAGATTTTGTTACTTCTCTCTTGTGATTCTTTCAGCTGTTTTCAGGAACATATAAAGATCTTTTTCCCTAGATGGTGCAACAGAGTTATTACACTTTATTTGCATTCCCATTTGCTTGTTGGGTTTATCTTTTCTAGTTGGTGGAAGCAGTCTTTTTTTTTTTTTTGTATGTGGTCTATGATGTTTCCTTAACTGTCTTGAAAACAGTCCTCCTGAAAAGTCTGGGCTTCTGAAGTCCAGCTTTGGCAGTGGTGTCTTTTGCTACTTTGTTGTTCATTTCAGATACATTGTAAGAATGCTAAAATGGGAAAGAGGTGGGAAAATAGTAGAGCTGCATGAGTGAAAAATTTTGCTTCATAAATCAGAAACATTTTTTTAAAATCCTCAGAGGTTCAGAGAAAAATGCTGTACTGTTTTGTCATGAGGATATCTTAAAAGGAATTGCTATAAAGTTGTGCAGTTATGGAAATCCCCCAGCTTCTCTGGAGTTCTGTGGAGAGGTTTCCTATTTGTTCAGCTGGAATTTGGTACAGATTTCACAACTGGCCATTTACTTGTTCTGGAGGTAATTGCAGATGCCAAACTAATGTTTGTTTGTTGGTATTCATTAAAGATCCTCTATGGTCTTGCAACTTAGGGTTTTGACTTCTGATATACTTCTAGTTGAAGAATGTTGTAGCTTTGGGAAGGTGGGCTGTTTGTGACCTTTAACACAGTAATATTTGCATGAAAAACAGTACTGCACATCTGAAGCCACTTTCAAGACTATTTATTTTTGATTTTGGTTTGGTTTTTTATGCAAGTAAAAAGTTGTGAGTGGAAGAGTGAGTAGAGTGAGGATTTATTTTGTGGTTAGCTGTGGATTTTTTTATTAGTCAGGTGTTTAAAAACAAGTTCTGGACTTGCTGTATGGCTAATTACATACAGCAGTCCTTTTGGGATTGGTCTAGACTAGTTTCTCCTTACTCCTTCAAATTTCAGAGAAAAATAACAGATATCTGGCAGTGCTAAACACTCTGGCCTAATGCTGCTGCTGCTGCTTCTGTATGTGGAAGGGGATGGAGGGAAAACTTCTGCATCTCTGGGTACAAAGATGCATTAAATATCCAGGCTTCTGCTTAGATTGTGTCACTTACATGTAAATGACAGACTTTAAACATATTATCAGCGCATAAGCTGGCTTCTGCAAAATAGCAGGAGCTTGGCTGTGTGGAGTGTTTGAAGTAGTGCAGTTCTTAATGCACATTTTCAAACAGTACAATCAGCTGGATCAAGGTAAATGATAACTGCAAACTGCAATAAATGGCAGGGGAAATGTTTTTGTTGGAAAAATACTTTTCCCTTCAGATGAATTAAAACACAGGTACAGGTGAATCTTTGTTTTCAGGTTTGTATGGTACTATAATTCAAGCAGTCTAAGTTGTCCAGAGTTGCAGAATATGTGAGGAAGGATAAGGAAATTGTTTCAGCTTGTGTTTGTAAAATTATTAATCATCAAGGAGCAAACTGTGTAGGTATATATTCTATGTGCCTGCCAGCTTCTCAGATTTCATTTTGCTGTAATGTTAAACAGTCTTTTGAAAGAATGGAAGTGGAATAAAATAACTTGATTGAATATTTAGTAATTCAAGCTGTGTAGAACATGTGCACAGACTGATCATTGTTTTCTTCTCTCAGTTTGGTACAAAGCTGTGAGTGTAATAATGAAACTTTACATGACAAAAGAAGAAATAAAAAAAAATAAACTTCTTTATATTGTTACAGTTTGTCTGTTTCTCCTTTGTTTTAAATAGAATGATTTTCATACAATTTGGTAGAACTTGACTTTGTTCTGGATTTTTTCCTGTTCTGTGAGTGCTGGATAAAGTCAGACACGCCACTTTGAAGCTCCAGCATTGGCAGGAATGTTACAGGTGTGCAGAAAACCTCAGACCCAGTTGTTTGGCAAAGAAATGAACCTGTCCATCCAACTGATGCCTCCAAGCTGATGCGCTGCCTGTCTTGCTTCATGGCCCATTGCAAGGGAAGTTCTCTAGAGCTTGTTGGTAGTTCACTCATCAGAACTGTAAGGACCGGTTTTGAGTTGCCAATTAAAAATTTTGATCTTTTGACTGATAGATTTTGTTTTGTCTCTGAAGATCCCAGCCAAGAGCATCTCTGCACTACTTGTATGGAAAATAATAGCTTTGTGGAGGTAAGGCATGGCTGGAAGCCAGGGCTCCAGGTGTTCCAGTCATCCTAAAATTTATTTGGGTTAAAAAACAGTTGAACAAAGAAGGAGAATAACTTTTATTTAGATAAATTATAGGATTTTCTTCCTCTCTCAGAGTAAGTTACAGTGCAAGACAACACTAAGAACTTTATAGTCAAAAGGTTTTCTGCTTCTTAGTGACCTTTCAGTTAATGTACTACTCACTGGAATAACTTTCAGTGGATGCTAGAATTTGGTTTTTAATTTTTACTTTACATTAGTGGATTGCGTTGCTACTTTTTGCCACTAGGCAACTAAGTAAAAGGTTCTCCTGACAAAGTCTGGTCTTCCTTGCATGTTTTGTTTGCCCTTCCATTTTTTATATTGTACCTGTTATCCTTTAAGCTGGTAGCAAGGGAACCTCTCAAGTGCTTTCTTTTTTCTTTTTTAATATATTCAAGGAGTAAACAGGCAAATATTTGAGATATTAAGCTAATTTCACACTTGCCATAAACTCCAAAAGCTGCTCTATATTCAGGAGAATGATGGAAAAGTGCTCAATATTTCATCTTCATCTGTTCTTTCAGAATAAGACCAAAAAGCCTAGGCCAAAATCCAGTTAGTTTTATTTTTGATTTCATTAAACTAATTGTACTTGCCAATTGGAATAATATTCCCAAAATGGTCATGCTGACATAGATTCTCCTACAAGTCACCTCTTGCAACAAAGAAATGCATGCTAGTGTTGGGACATAGGACCTGCAGTAGGGGAAATACATGTGTGTAGATATATAAATTTGAACGTATAAGAGGTTGTCTGCCTCAAATGGCAAATAAGTTTCTCAATATTATGGGGAATGCAGTTACAATGAAAAACATTTACAATGTCCACATCTGTAATCAGGATAAGTACTAATAATGAGAGCCAATTGCTCAGTTCTGGTACTTCTGCTGAGGCATTACATCAAGCTGTACTCTGGTATTGCAGTCTGTTGTGCCCTACTCTCCCATTTCTACATAGCAGAGATCCAACCTGCACAGCCAAATCTGTAACTGAGTCATTGGGTTGCATAATATTAATGCAATTAGCACAATCTCATGTGAGTTATTCAGTAAACATTACAAAGAGATGAAAGGATAATACCAAGAGCAGGACAAAGAGTTAATGACCAATTACAAGGTAGCAGTAAACACCTTTGACTTTCACAGTTAGGTACAGTCCCAGTTTCACCTCACTTGAGGGAAGACCTTTCCAGTTGTCAGCACAAGCAGAACAATTTTGTATTCTCCGTGTCTTCACCATGCAGAGAAAGCTTAATTCAGTCATTAATAAATTAATCTTTGTTGCCCAAAGGAAAAATGTCAGGATGCTATAAAAGTAGTTACAAAATATGCGTACTGTGCTGTCCACTACAGTGTGGTTGTCTCTTTTTCCAAGGGCTTCTTCCCATGTGCTGTTCATCTTGAGGAGTGAATGACATTATTAGGAATTGCCCTTGGGACGAATGGTACTAGTCCTTGAAATCTTCAGTGTGATCTTGAGAGGTGGCCACTGGCTCTGGTGTTACGCATACAGTGTGAGCTGCAGCCACTGAAAGAAGAGTTAAAGGATGGATGAGTTGTTGGTGTCCTCCCACAAATTGTGTGAAGACACCACCATCTCTAGCTGGAAGGCAGCTGCTTGCTGTCACTTAGCATGGAGTGGCAGTGGGGAATTTTCTTGAGTCTCTTGCTCCTACTCCTATTTCTCCTTCCCTTGCAAAAAGTGATAGGTGTTTTTAATGTCCTCCCTAACAGAGGACATGAAGTTGAAACTTTCTAATTCTTCTTAACAAGATTTTTTTAAAGGTAAAGAACTATGCTAAGCCCCATTATCATTTAATACCATATCACTCTGTTTGATCTTAATTGCCTCATAAAAAAAATCTCAAAAATTTTTTATGGACTTTAAAGATGATATGAAGAGACTGCAGCCATGCCCTTCAGCACCAACTGGAGTCTTACAGAGCAACTGTAGTTGGCAGATCATGGATGTTTTCCATGTAAAATTGGTAGCAAAATTTTAGGAGGTTTTGGGGTTTCTTACCAATTGGGTGGCAATTCTCTATTCATAGAATTCTCCCTTGAAAACATGTGCAATGATTAATACAATTAAAATTTAGTGTTGTGACGTTGTGTTGGACACACTCTCATAAAGCAGTTTACCTCCAGGACATTGAGCTTAATGATGCCATCTCCATCTTTGTCAAAGGCGTGGAATGCCCCTAAAGTAAGGAAACAAAAATATGGGAGGTAGATTAGGTTACTGTGGGAGTAAAGATGATTCCCAGACAGGAAATCAAACAGTGCTCCCATTGTGAAATGCCAACTTGCACAGGTCTTCACTTGTGGGGTCACTTTCTGCTGTGTTTTTCCTTAGTCAATTCAAGGAGAAACACAGTGGTTTCTTCTGTGTTTGTGTGAGACAACTTGTCATCTTAGATTCTCTAAGAACGTGTCTGTAATAATTAACACCCTACATAGAGGCAGTAGTGCTGTGAACAAACTTTGCTGTATGATGGGGCTCTGAGCAATCTGGTCCAGTGCAAGGTGTCCCTGCTCACAGCAGGGGAGTTGGAACCAGATCATCCTTGAGATCCTTTTTAACCCAGTCTGTTCCACGGATCCAGGGCTGTGTTTGGGGGCAGGAGGGGAGGCAGTGCCCTGGGACCAGAGTAGCCACTCACGGAACATGGCGTCCAGGCGCACGAAGCAGCAGATGAAGCTGTCAAAATCAATGTTCATGTTCTTGTCGGCGTAGCGCATGGTGATGATGTCGTAGAGCTGGTTGTTCAGCCGAAACCCTGCAGGGAAGCAAAAATGGGCACAGCTGGGTCTCAGGTGGGGAAGGCACTGCTCCATGAGGGGTGGGCTACAGGTCCGTCCCTGGCCCAGCCGAGGCCCAGGCTGGAGTGTGCTGCTGTAACTGCTAAACAAAATCAAGTGAAGCTGTAAGGAGCTTCAGTGTGTCCAGCTGCCTTCCCAAACCAGGAGCAATGCTGTGGGAGGGCCCTTAGCACGTGAGTTACCTCAGGCTGTAAGTGTGAAGATGAGAGCTCTAGCCCCAGAAGGCCTGATGGCTCAGCTGGGCCTGCTGAAAGCAAATCAGCTAAAGCTGGCGACAGAAATGCAAGAGGAAGTTGCTATAAAAACACAATTAAGCAGTGGTCAGAAAATAGACAAGGAGGCAACTTCTTGGTGTGGTAGGACTGAACTTTGGCACTGAATGCTGCAGCCTGTGCTGTGCCTTGAAAAGGTCTGTCACGGTTTGGGTACAGCTGTTTGTTGGCTAAATGGAAAGTCATGCACAGCTTATGTGCTGTAAGGCTCTGAAATGTTCTCAGTTCTAGAGTCAGGGCAGGAGGTATTTAAGTATTTTCTCTTTTTACAATGACAACTTCCCTGGTGAGAACAGAAACCTGAAAAATAAAAATGACCCATATTTCTACCACAGCAGGAGTCCAAATCCAGGTGTAGTTTTGTCTTTAACAAAGGACTCCAGAATCACTGAGGTTTTGTAAAGTACAATGTAGCCATTTGTTTCTGTTCCTTGACCTGCCAAAATACTACTGAAAACAAGGTGTCACTGAAATCATCCCAACTAGTTGAATAGTGATACTACAGATTTTCTGATCAAAGTGGTTGTCTCACTCCCTTAGAGACCTTTTGTGGGGAGAGGCCTGCTCCCCAGGGGAAGAAGCATACTGGTGTGTCTGAGACAAGCAGGAAAAGTCCAAAGTCCCTCTTATCAGAATGAATTTCATTAACTGCAAGTTTTGCAAAAATACTTTCTTATCATTGTGCAGATAGAAGAGACTGACCCCACAGTGGCTCAGTATGGAAGAAACATTAACATGACTTAAGAAATGCCCACCCAATTGCCTGTAATGCACACTTTGACATAGACCTGCTCCATCCCAGTTTCAGGGCCTGTACACTTAGGTTGAAGGTTTTCCACTGTTTTTTGCTTTTACTTAGACAAATGTATAGAATCCAGAGCTTAAATGAGAGTAAATGCCTTCAGCACTCCCTGGTCTCCCTGAATAGCAGGACCCTGAGTAGGACATCCTTAAGGCAGCAAAGCATCACTCGTTGCATTAAAGAGGAGCTGAAGAGATCTCTTTGGCTGGCAAGACACACAAGTCTTGCCATTTGGATATTTGAGAAGCTCTGTTGGGGGAAAAAGTATTTGCTAATTTCTCTACGATCTGTCTTTAAAAGGCAGCACAGTGTTCAGTGATCTCACCCTGTGATGCACCAAAACAAAACCAAGTTTCTTCAGCCGTGGGCACTGCACAAGGGACAGTACCTGCATCGTTGACTGCGTTGCGCATCTCATAGCTGTTAATGGTTCCTGAATGATCTGTGTCATAGCGCTTGAAAATTTTCTGGAAAAAGAAAAAAACCACAGAAAACAGTAATAAAAACTTGTACTGCTCTTGAATGCACTCATTGAGTGGATGTGGGGCGTGTGCCTCAGGCACTTGGAGGCTTTGCCATGTGCCTTATATTGCCATTGCTAGCAATATATATAATAACTGTTTCCTCTCAGTTGCAAAGTAAAATAATTTAGATCCAATTTCTGGGAAGCCAAAAAAACTCTCCCCTTGAGACTCTCCTTGTTTGACTTGAGTTTATGCTGGTAATCCTCCCTCTTGATTGCCCTAATTAAGCTATTATTGAGGCCTGATTCTAGTTCCCATCATTCTCCTCCTTTAATTTGTATGCCTCTGTGCTACTCTCGTGGGGGAAGGCTGTGCATGGGATAGTCAGGCTATTTGCTTAGGCTGTGAAGTAGGATGAGGAGAGAGAGACATTACTTTTCATTTTTGAAGCTAATTCACAATTATTTTTTAGCTTTTCTTCTTGATGGAACATATGTGGAGAGTTATAGTTTTTCTGTAGAACACTTGCACTGCAGAAGCTGTGAAGAGGAGCTGTGAAGATACCAGCAATACCTGCCAGCTTTTAATCTTGTCCCAGAGATGTCGAAATTCATCAAAGTTTATCTTCCCTGAGCCATCTGTCTGTGACGCAAACATTCAGGTAAAAAACCCACAATACTTTTAGGATAAAATTAATTAAGTCTGCAATTACTGCTAAAATGATGAATGTAAAACTGGGTTGGAGATCTCCTCAGCATAAAGAGTTGATTCACCTTTGCAGTAAAACATTTGTAAATGTTTTGGTTTTTGTGTATAACATGGTGCTTCAGGAGTGTGAAGTACTACTTCTACTTTGTGTAGAAGCAAACTTCTGGTACAGGACACAGCTTTGTCTCTGGAATTATTCTAAAAGTGCATGAGTAGGATGCTTTAGTGGGATCCTCTGAAATACCTCCAAATGTGAAGCTCGCCTAATGCTTTTTAAGACAACTGAGCTTTACTCTGGCATGGATCTCTTTCTGCCTTGCTTAAAATGAATCAAGAAATAAGCAAAATGTTGACTAAAGCTCTTTTCAAAAATGTGTTTAGGCTCCAACCACTATGGCTGTAGGTTGTAGTTACACTTTTGTTCTGTTATATTTGAATGCACTTGCATTTTCAGAAAATTGTCTTATCTCAAACTGGAAAGCCTAGGGTGGTTGTAGCAGAGGTAACCACATGGCATCTTATAGTGTGTTTTATTGCACTTGTTCCAGACAAGTTCTGCCTGCACTGCAAGCTGAGCACAGTAGAATATGTGATACATTACAAACTTAAAGAGATAAATATAGTAAATTTATTGGCAAGATCTATAGTTATGTTGACTTTATTTAAAATATAATAATGAAAAAATCATGCTTTAGTACCTAATGTGGCCAGTGTCTGATACCTAAAAAAGAATGTCATACTGACTGATTTATTCTGTAGTTTTCTTTTTGGGGACATCTTTCTCTGCCAATTATATTAACATTGAGATGGCTGGAATTAAGATGTGCCAAACCAGGAGTGCTTTTTTATTTGACCACAGAATACAATTTGCTGTTTTGTTTCCCTGGCTTCCTAAGTGGTATGGTGGTGAGAAGTGGTGAACTCGAGTGGTTTCAAGCAGTCCCTTTTCACCAGGAAAGGATACATCCATTAAAGCAATCATGCTGCGGCAGGATTCCAATTCAAACCCTTCTGACCTTAGGTCCTTATCTGAAACAAATGGTCTCAGGTGAATACAAATCATGCAAATCAGCAAATTATTTTCCTCTCAAATGTAACTCTAATCAAAGTAAAAGCCAAACCTACTTCCTTTGTCCAGTAAGAAATGAGTGGTAGAGAAATCTGAAAAGACTCTCAGTAATGTTACTGACTGTGAATTAAATTTACTTTTCTTGATTTGTTACATACAATAAAAAACTCTGAAAAACTCTAAACTAATTTCTAAATTACTAAGGAAGTCCAGGGTCTGTTGGTTAAAGTTTGCTAAACAGGGAGAAATGTTTGCCTCTCCACTAGAAATTTTTTAAAGGGCATTTGCAGACTGTGAGAATTGCATTATTGTCCCAGTGGTAATTCCAATGAATGCATCTGCTCATTTCTAGATTATCAGTACTAACAACCTGTAGAGAAAATCTCTGTGAAAAGTTCAGCTTGTGAAAGTCTCAGATGCATTGTCCATGGAAATGTAACTAGGAAATTTCTGAGTTTGAAAACATCAATAATTTTTAGAAATTTGGGGAGGGGAGTTATGCTCTGTCACAGATTTCTTTGTCCAGGGTTAGTAAAAAACATGCTCAAACTCACGTTTTTTTACAACATTATTGAGAACATTCCTAAGTTCCTCAGCATTGATCTCCATGTCCTGTTGGAAATGTGGTGAGAATATCATTAGTTAAAGAATTCTTTATGAAAAACAATTTTATGGCTGCATATGCTATAAGACTTTGGTCACTTTCCAATTAGACATATACATGTTTCAAACCAGAGGGCATTCTACTTCATGTGAACATTAGTCCAGCCCTTTCCTGAGGCTTCAGTACAAGGTAGACCTGAAGTTACCATACAGTGCTCATTAAAATACAACTAGAAGAATGACTGGTAATTTCAAGCCAGTCTATAAGTAAAATAGTAAAATCAGAAAATTCCTGTATCCCATATGCAGCCACTTGATTTATGCAGTTCTTTGATCTGTTTTTATCTTTAACTTCCCTTGTTAAGCATATACCAGAGGGCATTGCATTTCTAACTTGTTTATACTTGCTGTGCAAAACAGCATCTTGTAGGAGATAGGAGAAAAAAAGCTGAATTTAAGTAAGACTCCCTCAGACACAGTGAGAATAGTTTATACATACATATGAGGATAGCTGTGTACTTAATGGAGTTTTTATTTGATTTTACTTATCTCAAAATCACAAAGAGAATTTGATGGGAGGAAATTCAAAGGAAATTTTGATATTCAATGTTTTGAATCTATGGAATAGTTGATTTAGGGGCTGTTGTGGCCAGGCTGCTTTGAGGGCAGAGACAGGGATTGATTGCATACTCACATCCCCTGCAATCTGTCGGAAAATATTCCTGAACTGTTTTTGCTCTTCACTCTCCTCATGAGTTTTTGTTGAAGAATGCTGAAAAGAGACAAGCAAAGAAGAGATACATCCTGAGCCCAGTGGAAAAGAAAAAGGGCCTGGACGGCTCACTTACCCTTGTGTGAGGGATCGTCTTAATGAATCTGGAGGCCTTTGGAGGAATGGGTTGTCGTCCCACTTCTTTCCCTATGTTTTTGTTAATTCTCTTCCTTAAAACTGCCAATTATTTAACTTCATTCCATTGTTTTCTCTTCTATTTCTCTTCTATTCTCTTCTAAATAACATTGGTAGTTATCTTCTAAATTTTTGTTCCAAAATATTGCCAAAGAGAAGTTTGGAGCAGAAGAGGCTTATCAGAGATTCAAAGAATGGTTTTGGTTGAAAGAGACCTTAAAGATTATCTTGTTCAAGCCCCCCTGCCATGGGCAAGGACACAGCATCTGCCTCACAGCTGCTCTATAGGCAATAAATGACCATGTGAGAGCTCTTTACGATGAGGGGGAGGGGCCCTTGCTGAAGACAAATAGCATATGAGACAGAGGAAAACGAGGAACATGAGGCTTTCTCAGACACATGGAAAATGCAACCCTGAACTCTGAAGCTGATACTGAAAAGGGAAATGAAAGTTATAGATAACAAAGTGGATTTCTTGGCTTATTTCTTTTTAGATTGGTTTTCACTTCACCCCCTGCATGCTCTAGCAGTCATGCAGCACCCTCCCTGTAAGCAGATGCTCCAGCCATGCCCCCAGATGCCACAAGCCTGGATGTGGGATCTGGCTGTTAGATGTGTTGTGTCTCACCCACCTGCAGGAAGAAATTCTGAATTTGCTACTCTGTTTTCCTCCTCCCTGGTAGCGAGGGAGAAGAGAGGGGTGCTGGAGCTCCTGGGTTTACCTGTCCTTTATCCTCTGGCCAACAAGGGCTAGGACAGAGGTGTGTGTTTGTAGCAGAAGAGGCTGTGGTCATTGCCAGGATCTTCTGCAGCCCCTTGGGTGCAGTTTGTGCATGTGCCCTTCTAAAGCAGTACCACCTCAGGGGGCCGAGCGGGGGTGAGCTGAATGTGGGAAAGGAATCTCTCACAACCAGGATTCTTGTGTGAGAGAGCAACCAGGAGATTTTTCAAGCAACTAAATCCTCCTGTAGAGCTGTTAAATAACTGAAGGGACAGTCTCTCTGTGCTCGTGCTCATTAGATCCACATAAACCAGATGAGAGTCATGTAAAGATTTGAAGAGAAGCTGTTTAGTATCTCAGGGCACCTCTTTGCCCCATTCCTGTGCTCTCCTCAGCCACTCTTTCATGCTAGCCAGACCAAGCCCTGTTTCCCCCTCTGCCACTTGCTGCAGAAACCTTTTTCTTATCTGCTTGGGTTTTTTCACCATCTTTGTCAGCATTTTCATCTGCTGTCAGCTCCTTATTGCTGTTTGCTCTGTCAGAAACGAAGATGATAGGCTAGAAGAAGAAGAAGAGAGCAAAAGAGAAGTGGAAATTACAGGAGAAATAGTGGAAAGGAAAATATTTGGTTACAAGCATTCTGTGGAAATACATGCAGCAACAACTCCTGCTCTTGAAAGACAGTAATTGAATCTGTTTGGTTTGTTGTTTTTGTTTGGGGTTTGTTTGTGTGGTTTTGTTTTGGTTTTGGTGTTTTAGTTGGTTTTTGGGTTTGGTTTTGGTGGTTTTTTTTTTTGTTTGTTTGTTTGTTTTTTTGTTTTGTTTTGTTTTTTGTGGGGTTCTTCCCCTTGTTTGTAAGCAAACTAAGCCTCCCAGATTCTCATCACACAAACTGATGAACTTGCCCCTCAAGGACAGTAGCACTGAAAACAAACCAAATGTGCATAGTACCCAGAAAAGGAGTTATTTGTGTAGGAGCTTGTTAGTTATGTGAAGCATATGTTCTTTATCTGTACTGACTCTTGAAGCACTCAGCAGTAAGCAGCCATTTGCAATTGTTCTGCTTTGGTGCATTTAAAAAAAGGAAAAAACTGCTACATGATGTGAATGTATTACTCTAGAGTATTAATTACAATCAGCCTTTCTTGGGATTAAAATATCTGCTTACATTTTCAAGGTCCAAAATGTGTTGTGTCAAATCAAAAATAGAACACAAGACTTTGGTGAGCAGAAACTTCAGAAAAGAGGAGTGGCCTCTGCACTAGCTGGTGGAAAGCAAGTGTGAGGGCACAGGTCTGGAGAAGGGGTGCTTTTCACTAGCAAGGGGTGTCAGGTTGCCTCTGGAGGGGCAGGGAGGAAGAACAGTTTGAGCAATCCAGAGGACTGAGCTGAATAGTTTGTTACCCTTTTACCACCCCTTTGAGTGAGGGGGATTTATGATGCTAATGCTATTTCATTAGAATCTCAAGTAGGAAGACAAAATCTTTGTTGCATGCAGATGGCCTCGTATCCAGCACCCTTCATTAACTAGGTCAGTTTCCAGACAGAGAAAATTATAATAGCAGGGAACTCTGTCCCTGCTCATGCATTGCACATTCTTTTTGCCTTGCTGGCACTTAGCACATTGCACAGGTACTTACCTTGCCCTTTTTCTTCTGTGTGAAGAGACAAAATTAAAAAGTTCTTGATCAGATTATGCAGCACTGAAGGCAAACTTTTTTTTTCTCCCCCTTTCTCATGTTTATCTTTCCAGTTCCTATACTCACAAATTTTCCCATTTCCTATATTTATAGAGCTTTCAAATCACTAAGAATGAGGGAACATGCACCCACCAAGAAATGGCATACTGAAGGAAACACATTGCAGAAACCATAATAAAACTGTGTCTCATCTCAGCTGGGGCTTTGTCTGCTTGAATAAAATCTCTTTAGTTCTGAGTATTCCTTTTCTTTTTCCCAACCTGCTAGTGTCAGGGAGATTGAACTTCTATGCCCATAGATCAACGATATCTGAAGTGACAATTTAATTCCCTCCCATCTGGACAGCTGTTTTTCTCTATGACAGCAAACAGAAGGGGAACATTTCTGAGCAAATTTTGATGGCGCTCAATTCTGTGCAACAGCATTTCCGCTGATTTTTTTTTCAAGACTTATTGTATTGTTTGCTCTAGTATATTCCCACAAAGATGTGTAAAAATCTCCAGAGGGAAGAATTAGAATTTGCCTTGGATGCTATTTTGAATCAGAGTGCTCTTAGGATCCCTTTTCAGAAAGCAGGTACTTCAAAACAAGGTAGTTTTTTCTTTATTAGATGAGACACCAATTTCACAAAGAAAGGATCTCAGGGCACAGAGCTAGGCCTCCCTGGGTAAATGGATAATCTCCATTGATGGAGACAAAAACAATGCTTAGCATCCAGCTTCTCTATGCCAAGACCAGATTTCAAATCTGCAAAATTGTTTTGGTGTGAATCAAGTTCAGAAAGTAGCATATATAAATCAAGTGTCAACAGAAGTATCTTAATGAGAAAAAAGATGAGAATTTGGTAAAGGTTCTGTCATGTAGCTGCAAATGATTTCCTGCTGTCGGTTTCCCTAGGTATCATGTTCCTCTCCTGTCTACTCCTATACACAAAAGAGGACCAGGACAGTACTTACCAATGGACGTTCTGCCTCAATCATGTTTTCAACCTCCCTAAGTAGGAAGCAGAAAATAAATAAATCAGGAAAGTGACTGTTCCCAAAGTTGCTTGTTTCTTTAGGTGGTTTTTAAGCAGCCACTCAAGCTTTTCAAGCCGCCAGTGGTGTGGCTGGCTTCCAGCATTACAGCTGCAGACTTTAGGAGCAGCTTTTTCCCACTTTGAGCTGAACATCCCAAGTACCTTTTCCAGGACAGCTGCCACCTAGCTTACTCCTGTAAAGAGCCTTTATAACAGTGAACTGGAAGTAAAACAGAAGTTCTTTGGCCTTAGTAAATGCCTAATGGTTAGTTTGCAAAGCATATCCTGCAAGCAGTAAGCTTCTCCAAAGACAATTCAAAGCAGGTTCTTGTTAATCTATAAAGTAAGCTTGTGGAAATTAGTTTGCAGCTTGGAGTTTCTAATGAGGTTAATAAAATAAAAAGCAGGGTGTAGCAAACTGATAACATGACTGTAGCTGACTAGTGAGGTCACTCCACCTATATGGCCAAATAAAGGGCGCTGCAACTTACTCTGAAAGACTTCTTTTCTCTGAGAAGACCCTGAGGATGAATTCTCCCTCCTGGTGGGGGTCATATGTCGATGGGATGATGACATACTCGCTGGGAGGTAACCGGAAGCGCTCAGAGATTTCTCGCATGTTTATGTAGGTCTTACTTCTAGCTTTGGAGGCATTGTAGAGGAAAAAATCCTTCTGCAAGTGGTGCTTAGTACCATGCATCTGCAGAACAAATGAGTCCATTTGTCTTCAAGGAAGTCTTGCCCATTGCCCAGGTGGGTTGCCATGCGGGTGGTGCACGGCTGGGACAGAAAACACAGGAAGCAGCAGCTTAGCAAGCAGGGAGCTGAGGACTGGTGGTAGCTGGTGGCAGGTACAGAGTCTGTCACCTTTGAGTTGCCACTGACTGTGTCTAGCTGGCTTCTGAGGACTGCTCCAGCGCCCACCTGCAGATTGTGTGGCTGACTTCTGCTGTGTAGGCACTTGTACCTGACTCTTTTTCTAGATGCTGGGTTGTGTGTAACCAAAGCTCAGCCACTTTCCTTGGAGGGTGCATGGCCAGGAATAGTGTAAGCAAACTCCTACATGCAGAGTGGTAAAGTGAAGGTGCTTTCAGCATAAACATGTCCTTGTCTAGACAAAACATGAGTTCTGTATCTGCTAAACAAATGTGATAATCAAACATTGCATTAGTTCAAATATTAAAATTAAACCAAGAATTGTGGACTAAACGCACTTGCAGGCTGTTTTTTGCAGAAATAACTATTTGTAAGATAGTTGGCAAAGACAACATTCAGATTGTCATCCTCATGCTTTCCAGGTAACAGCCTTCAGATGAGCTTGTTAGCAAAACTTCTGATGTCGATGATTCAGCTACTGTCAGGCTCAGAAAAAATGTAACCTGTGTACTTTTGATAAGCTTCCTTCAATGTCTGAAAATACCATAATTTTCTAAACCATTCTAAGACTACAGAGAAAACTCTGTGACTGCAGAATGTAGGCCATTTGTATTACGTTTAGGAGGAAATGCAAGTGGCTTAGGGTGGTTCTGCATGGAGTGCAGAGGCTAAGCCCTCACAGGCATTGCTTCCCGGATCTCTGACCAACTGTGCAAGTGATGGCCAGGCCACCACAGAAGAGAAAAGAAGCATTGATGAAAGGGTCCAATTGAAAATGGGGTGCGAGTGAGAAGGAACTAAAAATTACTCACAAAATATTACTAATAAACACTCAAAGCAAAAAGGTTAGCAGTTCTACTGCTGTTACATCCCTGAAAACAAACTTGACTGGACAGTCTCCTGCTGACTTACTGCCAGGCACTACAGTAACACTAGCTGTGGGTATACACCAAGATGTCACTCTGGCTCCGTTCTGCGCATACCTCTTTGGGCACCTTAGGGAGAAACAGAGAGAAGAAACAGTCAGAGCTGCAAAGGGAGACTACATGTTTATAGGTCACACAGATGGGTATTCAACTAAAGTTCTGAGGACACAGTAATTAAAATGCCCTTAGTGAGATAAGCACTTTCCCTCTTCCTTTCTAAGTTTCTTGACTTCTACATGAAATCAGCTAAAATCTGAATCAAATATGTTTGTGCAAGGGACTGAGTAAATTGACTTTTTCATTGAGTCAATAGCAGGGACAGAGGTTAATTGCTATGTGTGAGCCTTGGATGTCTGTTTCCTTTTCCACACTCTTCTGCCAATGAAATGCTTAGTTTCAGAAAGGACAAAAGGGAGATTGAAAAATATATGTGAAAGAATATACTAAAATCTGGCATTAGGTCACTATAAAAACCTAAAAAGTGTCTTACTTAATAGATGGGTAAACCCTGACATTGCTGTTGTACGAGGAGTTAGGAAGAGTTTAATTTCCTTCCTCTCTTTCAGATTTTCTGACTCCCTTGCAAAGCAAAAATTGCAATTGATGTAATCAGCTTGAATGATTCAGTGACTCTCTTGGTAAATACATACAGTCAGGATTTGTGACCACAGTGCAAAGAGCAAAATCTAGAACTGTTACCTCATAGATGGCAAAGCCAATGGTGTACAGGTTGGCTCCCAGCTTGCGCTCTTTCCTCCTGTTTTTCTGCATGAGTGCGACAAGGAAGCTGCAGATAACCTCTTCATCCTCAGGATCATCATCTTCCTCCAGGAGCTTCAAGCGATACTGGGGATTGGTCCAAAATGTATCTGTGAAATCCCATCAGCAACCCAAAGAAAACATGTAAAGCTTCAGTCTTCTAATGATGCTCATGATCAAAGAGAACTTTTAAGTTCCCTGCCTATGGCTCCTGAGCGAAAGGTTGCAATTGGGCTAAGACATACATGGGTTTTTTTACATATTATGACTGTTACTTAATTCTAACAACTGCATTGCAAAAGAGGATATATGGAGAACTGTCATCTGATAAACCTCCTAAGTCCCTAAAGCTATCCCTAATCCACAAAAATGAATTTCCAAGTGAATTCTAACAGTTAGGGTTAAATTCATCCCTTTCCCTAATCCACAAAAATGAATTTCCAAGTGAATTCTAACAGTTAGGGTTAAATTCATCCCTTTCACTTAGGGCACTGTGAAGTACTTGAACAATGATTTATCTTTGCCAGGGCTGCCTTTTGGGCTTACCATGTTCCGTTACAGCATAGTGACAGAAGATGTCCAGCAACCAATTGCATGCCGTGTCCACTGAGAAAGCAAGGCTTTTCCTATGGCTGAACACTAACCAGGTTGTGGTATGACAGCCTCTGGGATCTAACCTAGTCCCCATCAAAGAGGCTGTATCCCTAAAGACCCTTTGCTCACCTGGATAATTGCGGCAGCCTCCAGCTGAGCAGCCTCTCACCCAGCGTCCTTCATTAACTGACACAGTCCAGGTCTGGAATTTATCCACGTCCAGAGCATCAGGTGTGAGGTTACAGATCTCAAGCTTTGTGAAATGCCTCATGAAATCTTGAAATGATATCCTGGAGGAATTGAGGGGAAATTGAAACCAAATGCATTTACGTGGTTGGCAGTTGTCTGAAAGACCCTGGGGAGGTGGAAGACGGTGACCAATAGCACTGTCAGTACCGGGACAAGTTTGCAATGGGAGTGCCATATTTTCCAAATGCTCTTGGTCTGCTGGTTGGTGAGTTACCACAGGTACAGCTCCAAACTCAGGGAAACTGAGCTGACAGGACGGTAAGTAGGAAGGGTGATGGAGAGCTTGTGTAAGTGTAGCATAATTACAAAGACTGTGCTGATGGCACTGAATAATCTCTGGTGGGAAAATGAGAGGATCACAGAGCAGGGCTTATTGGGAATATGAAGGGGAGCAGAGATCACTGCAATGGTTTTAGTAGATTGGTAGTAGTGCAGTGGCATTCATTTTTGCTATGATTGCATATTTCCTAGAGAAACTGATGCTCTCACCAGAACTCCCCATCCTCCACAACCTTGTGCTGCAGGCGGATTTTCTCTTCTTCGTTAACAGAGTCCCACACCTCTGACCTTCAAAGGAGTAAGTAAGTTAGCTTAGGCTTTGCAATACAGTTTTCATTAAAGTTTCTACACTTTTGGCTCATAGAGTGAAAAATCAAGAGTCATCTTGCTACCTCCACATAATTTTTCCTTTGTAAGCCTTGCAGCAACTTGTTCTTAATGCTATTCTCTTCTCTATATGCCCAACAAAAGAAGCAATTGTTCTACTTCTCTCAGCCTTCCTCTTAGAATTCCTCTTATTAGCTCTCAAACATCTGCTGAACTGTGTTAATTTTACTTAGCTTGAAGAAAAAGGTGTTTGCAGATTATCAATGCTGGCGTACCTATTGAAATTCCTTTAAGGAAAACACTGACATCTTGCTTCGTTAATTTCTTTCATAACCTAATTTCCATTTATTAAAGCCTCTCTTAACATCTTATTAGGTGTTCTTTTCTTTTTTACAGCTTCAGCTAAGCACTCAATGAACTTCAAAATTCAAAGACAATTGAGATACCTCATCACTGAATATTAGGATTATGCAAAAGCTGCATAAAGGCAAATAAAGCTGCAACTTCTTTTTCAAATCATGTGAAGCTCTGTTTTACTCACTTGTCACTCCAGGCTCCATTCCATTCCACCTGGCCCCAGGGGTTTCTCAGCCTTACCAGACGTATTTTTTCCCCTTTAAATACTGTCTAATTGAAAAAAGAAGGCAACAAGAATAGACTGAGAGTTGGTTCAAAAGGAAATGTTCAGCCTGTCACCACACCTTTCAGTGATGGTGCTTTTCTGGGCCACACCCCAGCCTGATCTTCTTGGGGTGGCTTTGGGAAGGCTGTAAGACCAGGAGGTGGCTGCCTGTGGCCACCTTTGCCCAAGTGAGCCAAAACTTGAATAGGTTTCTTTATCCACAAGACTTTAACTTATTTGAATATAGTTTTGTTTCCTTGGCTCATAATTCGTTTCGCTTTTCTTTTCTTTCATGCCTCTCATGGCTTTGCTGCCGTGCGTAGGGCCAGGCCAGCAGCGGCTGCAGCTGTGCACAGCTGGACGGGGGAGCGGGGCACGTACCTCTTCCACGGCCGTCACGGAGTAGGCGTGCCCCTTGACGAGCCCGCAGGACATCCGAGTCTCGTACTGCATCGGCATTATGGTCTGTCGGACAGAGAGAAACACCCGTGCGGCTCACAAAAAGCTCAGCTGCTTGCTCGAGGGCAGGTGCTGCCACCCAGGGCTTTCACGGGGAGGGAGACACCATTCAGCTGACTGGATTTTTTGCCTTGTTCTCCTCTTTGTGTTTGTCAAAGCAGTCAAGCTAAGCGCCCATAGAATTCATGTTGAAAGTTAGAAAGGAGTGAAGTATGAACTAAAAATGGAAAAAGTTGATAATATCAATTTGAAAGGACATTTTCTGGTGTCCTTTTCCCTTTTGTGTAGAACATGGCAGGATATAGCATGCTTAATCAAATAATTAGTTTTTTGTATTAGAAGGACTGTTCAGCCTTTTCTAGGATGGTATGTTCTTGTATGGCTCTGTGAGGTTACTACACATGAACTGGTTAAAAATCAGAGCAAATCAACACCTAGAATACTTTCATCTTTCCACATGGCTGCTATCTTATCACAATGACATTTAAACAACCTGTTTAATACACTGTGCCTGCTAACTGACACTATCTTATTGCATCTAACTTTCAGGAAGGGCATAGCTGTGTTGCTCAGGTGTAAATATATTTGCTGTCTTAGTCATCAGCTTTTAGTGTGTCTGATGGATTTTTACTTGTGTATCTGTGAGCTCTGGAATTGGCAGCAGGATGGCAGATGCACACAGCCTGCTGTGCTTGTATGAGAGATCTCCAGTATTGGTAAGAGGGGTAGACCCTGCCACGTGCACGTGGACCAAGAGCAAAATTTCTCCTCCTTCTTTATGTCTGTTGCTGAGAGATGCCTGCAAAGTCCTGTCAGTAACTCTGCCACCCCTTCTTGACATATCTAATGGCATGAAAAAGGCAAGGTTGGGTCCTGAAATATTCTCAGCTTGCACAGGAAGGATCTCATCCAAATATTTCCTGGATGTTGCAATTGTTTTCCATTATTTCACTTCAGCATGTATTTGGTTTCTTTTCCCTTGATTCTGTTTTCATACTATAACCTCACACCTATTTCCTGTTTTCTTCATTTCCTCTCTAGTTGTTGCCATCATCACTTGTCAGAACCCTTTTCTCTTCTTTCTATTTAAGACTATTAACTTCTTCTGACCTGGACAACTTCTCAAAGTCCAGGTTTTGGAAGTGTTTCATCTGCTTCTTTCCATTGAGAGCCCTGATTTTTTTTCCTGGTGATGGTTCAGGAATATGCAACAACCAGCAGCACAACAGCTGCTGGGGCAACAAGTGCAGAAGGAGTTTTGCAATCTTCTTTTAGCAGACAGTCACTGAGGAGGAAATTCCCCCCCAGACATGGGAGATTTGGGCAGCCATGCTTGCAAAACAAGATAGTCATACTGGTCTTTCCCAAAGAATGACACCATTTCAGTCTTTTAGGAAGAGCTAAATATGGATGCCAGAAGAGAAAAAAATCAGCTATTTCAGCTGCAAATGCAGAAGAAAGTTTGCACAACCAAAAGTTTTGAGTGATGTAATTTTGGAGGATTTTTCTTTGGTTTGGTTTTGTTTTTCTCCACCCTTCCCTACACCCCTGTAAAACAAGAGATGTAATTTCATTGTCATGGAAATGCAGCTCCTTAAAGGCCAAGGTATGACAGCTGCCTGACACAGAGAAGGCAGCAGTCCCTCTACAGATTTGAAAGCTTCTAAGTTGTCCAGTATGGGACTTTTTTCTTAGAGGGTTTTAACAACCCTCTATTTTGCTAGATACTTATGTGGATATGCTGGAGTTACTTTGTATTTCATCACACATATAAAACTCCAAATACTTTTCCTTTTCCTTGTTTTTGGGCATTTTTAATGAGGACTTTGTTTGCAGTAATTATAAAAAAAAAAGTGTCCCTAGAGCAGGTTCTCCTCTATTAATGGGTAGAGGACTCTGTCTCAAAATAAGTTCACTAAGAGCTTTTTTGCCTTGAGCGAGAGCTATGCAGAGCTTGCTTTTTCTTTCTGTGACATTCCATGCACACTCAAGGATCTTGTTCTATTCTAGTATTTTAGTTTTTTCATACTCTCCACCCTATTCAAGCAAGACACTTGATAAAATCCACTAATAAATTTCTTGTTCTGCAAATTATAAGCCTGTGTCACAAGCCAACAGCCGTTTAATGCCTCAGTATCAGTGAAGCCCCCTGGTATCAGTCACTGTGCTGGAAAGCACTCAAGCCTTTCAACACGCACATCAAACAGCATCCATAAGAACATTTCATTAGTGTTATTCTGTGAAACCAAAGAAAGATTTAAAAACATAGGTCATGTGTTTTTCTAACAGTTTGTAGATAAAAGCATTCTGAAGTCAACTGCTTAGAAGACATACCCAGGCTGGCCTCTCCTCGATGCCCTGGTAGTCTGCAGTGGACTGAGTCATCTGCGCATTTTCTTGATTCTTCACCATGCGAGCAATCAGTTCCCCAATGTTGCTCCGAGGGGCTGATCCATAGGAAAAACCTAGGTCATCCTGGCACAGAGAATGGGAGAAAAGTATCATGGAGGAAGATGAATGGTAAAAGATTGCCCAGATTACTTCTCTTTTCCCTCATTATGTCCATACTTATCTTCAGTGGTCAATAGCACTGTTCTCCCGCCTTTACTGAAATATGGTACTCCATAAAGTACTAATTTTTTAACTTTTAAATTTCTTTTTTCTAAAATTTTTTCACCACAATAAGTGAAGACAGTCTAAAGCCACATGGACTATAAAATGTTAATCTTCACACTTAAGATCTTTGACATGAAGATTTGTGTCTTAACAGAGTTGCAGCATCCCCGTACTGACTTATTTCATTGGCTTAGGGTCTTGAGAGGGAAGGGGTACTGATTTTGCTGATTGTACCTGTTCTTTCCACCTCCATGTTCTACTTCTGTTTATTTCCCTTTTGGTACTCACTGTTTGCTAATGACTGGTCTCTAGGGAGGATGACTCCATCTCCTAGAAATGGATGTTTTCTATGTGGCCTAAACCAAGCAGTTCCAAAGGTGGTATATATTTGGTTACGAATGGAGAGGTCTCTCTCCTCTGTCATTTCTTATCTGCAAAGTTCATATGGACTCACATCAATGGAACTGGCCATGAGGGATCCTCTGTCAATGGCATGTTTCATGATTTTATAGATATCTTTAGGGGCATCCTTTATCTCGTAGAACTCTGTGACTCCTCCAGTGAAATCCTCCATGGCTTCAGTGGTGTTGCCTCCCTTCAAAGCTTCATATGACCCATGGAGTCTTGAAAAGAGATAAAAAGAGATCTTTTACACAAGTATAGATAGCTACCTATGTATTTATATCCAACTTGTGTGTATAACTACAGCTCTGCAAACACACATACTAAAACCCCACAACCCATCTGTCTGGTAACTCACAATTTAGAACTTCTAAAACATGCCACCTGCACACATAGGGGAAAAAGAAAAGAAAGATATGCTGAAAATCAAATGTAGATTTCTGAATGGGTAGCAAAACTTCTTAGAAAATACACTTTAACCCATCCCCAGCTCCAGGGCACGGGAAAAGGCATTGGTTTATTCAGGTATATTGTCTGTGTGCCTTTAAACGCTGTACGCAGTGGTGCAAGCACCGCCCCAGCAGAGGGAGCGGCGCTGGGGAGCCCGGCACAGCCCCGCCGTTCGCTTTACTTTGCATAGGCCTTTTCCAGGAGGGCGCTCCAGAACTCGTTGCGCTGGGAGGACTTGGTAAAGACCAGCTGGTTGTTGTAGGTGGGTAAGCAGTCATCGATGACGACATCCACCCAGTCTCCATAGCGCCAGAACTGCTCAAAGGCAAACAGAAAAAAACAACAACTGGATCGACTTGGTGCAGGGAGAGGAAGCTTGGCTGGAAAGTCAGGCTGAGAGAGGAGAAATATGGAAATACACTTCATAATGTGGCCAAAACTGATGGCTACTGTGAAGGAGGCAGCTGTATTGAATTCCTCTGGGCAAAAAGCTCCTTAAGAGAACCAAAGGAAATGCGGAAAGCAGTCAATCTTTGCCGAATAAGTTGTTCTTCGAGAACTTGTTTTGACCAGCTATTTGTGTGCCTAAACGCAGCTGCTCTTGCCAAGTGCCCGTGTGTCCGTCTGGCTGCAGCGCTGCATCTGAGCAGTGAGGCAGGAGCAGGCTCCTGTTGCTACTCCTTACAGCCAGGACACTGCAATCTGCAAATGCTTCCTTGCTGGATTAATGCTCCCTAATCGATTTTATTGGCTGACTCTGCTGTGACTGCCCTGATGGAACAGTTTGGGGTGAGGCAATTCAATCCCTTTTCCTCCCTTCTGTCACTCATGATTCCAAAGGGTGGGGAAAGAGAGAAGAGCGTGCAAAGAGCTGAGCTTTGGGTAAATGCTTATGCTCACCACTAGACGGAGCGACTCACCTGGAAGTGAAAGATTCCAGCATAGTTTTGTATAAAGGACTGGTCATGAGGAATGACTCTACAGAGTAGTTTTTTATTCAGTGTCAGGCAAGCAATGGCAGCCAGAAACCAGCAGTTACCTGTAAATGAGCAGAAGCAGCAGACAAAATGAAGTGAGAGAGCAACTAGAAAAGGAAAACCTGAGATATTGCAAATGACGTTAATTCTCAGTGGAGTATGATTGTCTGTGTTTTGCAGTACTTTAGCACTTTATCTTTTTGTGCTCTAGAAATGCTCATGGGCATTGTTCATGACTGGGTACACACAGGCTAAATAGATGATATTCCATGTACTTTGGAAAAAGCCTAAAATCTGATAAACACTGATACCTACATTAAGAATTCCCTGTGGCATGTGAATCTTTCACTAAAAGTTCTTGCCTAGATTGCTACTAAGCAGATGTCAACAATTTGCTACAGAGCAAAGGAATCACTGAGACAGAGGATTTCAGATATCACCTTAAAAATGAAAGAAAATTAATGAACCATGATGTAGACTTTAAAAAGTGCAATTGAAGTACAAATTTAATACCTAATTCTCCTTGGCAGATATCTGTTCTGTTGGCTCCACCAATAATAAACCGTGGATTCTCACAGATTTCCTGCAAAACAGAAACAGATGGATGAGCAAGAAGTGTCCATAATGATGCCTGTTTAGCAGAGAAGTAAAGTCAGTTTTAGAACATTTTCCTATAGGATAGCTTGTGGTATCAAAACCTCTCTCACAGTTGTCATCTGCAGAGTTTCACTATGAAAATGTTTTGAATCTGGATGTTCCAGACTCCAGTCAGAGCTTTCTCCATGCAACTACAGGGTCTAATATTGAGCCTGGGGTGCTCCCTCTATACTGAAATGTGAAAACACACTGAAAGGAGAAGAATTGGGAAAATATTTTTTTCTGCACAATTATGAAAAAACAAAACATTGGAGGGAGCAGGAGAAAAAGTAGATGAAAAAACCATCAGGTGACCAGACTAAATTATTTTAAAATGATCTTATGTCCAATTTGTAGTAACTGGCATGTTGGGGCATTGAAAGGGTTGAAGAATGCGTTTCATTGGGAATGAACCCCAGCATTACTTCTTTCTTAAAATTAGGGGATCAGATGTTTAATTACAAGAAATAATCAGTTGCTGGTTAAGAGATTTTGTTCTTTCCCTCACGTTTTAGTATTTAATTGACAATGCTGCATTCAAAAATGTGTATAGATATAATCTGTCTCCAAGGACAGAAAGGTCTCCTTTCATTCTGCACATTGCACAATGTATTGGGTTTGTCTGTATGTATACTACAACAGAGTGGGTACAAGATGCTATACATGTATAAATAATAAAGACATTTCTGCAGGGAGGGAAGGCAAAATGCAGCAAGTGAGGTTGGACAATTGCAGGCTTACATAGCCCTTTTCTATAATGAACAAAGACTGTGGAAAACCAGACAGAGGAAAACCAAGGAAAGTAGTGGCTATAACCTGTCCTACAGAGTGAAAAATGTCCCTGCTTTATCCCATTTGTCATACTCAAATACTTGGTACAGAGAAGAATAAGAAGACAGAACTTCTGGACACTTGTCTTATGAGGGTAAGGAAAGAAAGATATTGCAACCTGAGGAGCACCATCTGAGCAGCTGCAAATTGGGAAGAAGACAAAGAATAATCGAAGAGCCCAATCTATTGAAAAATGTTAGGACAAGAGTGGGAAGGAGACAGAACAAACATTTGACAATTTCTTGTGTGGCAGCATACACAGGCAGCTGATGCTACCTCTATAGTCTAAAACTTTTTATTAATATCATCAGTTTGCTTGGCTAAACTTGCTTTTCTACTTCACAGTTATCAGAAGAGTTGCTTTGATGTAAGTATTTGGATTAGTCATATAGCCAGACAGAGAGACCAACTTCTGCCACCCTCTCTACCACCAACCCCTGCAGGCACTTTGCTTTCCTTGAGGGAAGGAATGGTGGGATTGTCCTGTTATTTTGGGCCTTGGTCAGCTGTTGGGGTCCTGTTCTGTCAAAACAGATGTTTGAGATGCCTTCATGCTTTTCTCCACTCACTTGTCTTTTTGAAAATACTCTTCCTTATATTGCTGTGATGTTCTGCTGAAAACCAGTCTGACATGCAAGGTTTTTGTTTGTGTTTTTTCCAACTCTATTATTGTATTTTGACTCTATCTTGCTCTTATTGTAACTAGCTTTGAAATCCAGCATGCTGTGCTTTAGTTGAAAGTAGGCAGGTGCCACCTAGTTGTTTCCAAATATTAAATGTACAGCGATGTGTTACTCAGAGGCATTTATTGTATCTTGGGGTCATTTGTTTTGTAGGATGCTTGGTAAAGGAATGCAAAGGAAAGAATCATGCAATTGTCATGTGGCCTGGTTTAGCTGTGACAGAAATGCTTTTCTTACATTTCTTTATGCAGGCCAAGTGTGTACAGCACACTGTGGATATGATTTTAATTTGTATTTCCTTAGTTCATCTCCAGCTACACTAATTTGCTGAGTACAGCTGAAGTTACAGAGAAAGGTATCAAGGTCTACCAAGACTGAAGTACTCAGTCAGCAGAGCGAGATGACCAGGTGTCAAGATCCAGGTGGCAGGTCTGTCCTTCCAGTCTTCCTGTCTGAGCAAGAGATTGCTCTTCATCTCTTAGGTCAAGTTATCACAGAGAATCCCAACAGGCTGCACTTCACTGAGGCAATGATTCATCTTTTAAAAGAGCCTCCTCTGATCTGAGTGCCTCAGACTGGCTTGGTACTACCCAAAGGAGCTTTGTGTTGCACTGGGTTGATCCAGTTCAGACTGTAACTTCATTGCAAAGAAAACAAAGAATCCCAGGAAAAACTTAGTAGTGGTGCATGCTGCATTCTGGGAAGAGATTACTTACGAGTCAGTTGGAAGGGAGCCCTGGAAAATGCAGAGGCAGCATGCAACTAAAAATGGCATTTGACCTTTGTTACATTTTCATTGGCTTTTCTTCTGTATCAGGAAGAAATCTGCCAACCAGCTTATACTGCTGCAGCAAAAGGCATTAATTCCTTTAAAAACTGCCATTAATAAACTATGACATTCTAAGTAAATTCCCTAAACTGATCCTATCAAACAGAGGAAGGATCTTTTTTGGCCTAAGACAATTTGTAGCCTCATTGTCTCTTGGTCTCTTGTGGTCTAGACCATGCTTTTAAATGTCTGTGCTGTGCACTTCAAGGCACAGCTCAATGTCAGACACCAAGCTGCTTTTAGAGCTTCTGAGTTGGATTATCTTCTTCTGAAAGTTCTGCCTTGGCAGCACTAACTTCCATCTTTGCTTTGTGGTATGACCTGCACAGGCACACATTTTGTGATGACTAAATTCAAACAGCTTCACATGTGTGCAGTAGATGATCTGACTGATTAATTTTCATTCCAAGCAAAATCCAGTAGTTTGTTGACTTGATTTTATTTGTATTCATTATGAAAAAAAAGCTCCTCCTGGTGATTTTCTGGCTATGGAGAGGATCATCATAGGGAAGTCATTGAATGTGGTGACTTGGCTGTGAGTGAGGAGAATACAATGGTGCATTTGAAAGCACAGTGTCACAGTAGAGCCTTCCTATCAATACCCTGGTGTCATTAGATTCATACAGGACTGCAGCAGGACCTCTCAATATTCTGTGTTATGTTATAACACAGACTTTCTCAGCTCTCAAAGATCAGTAGCCTCATCCTTGCTCTCAGCTGTGAGAGATTCCCACTGGCAGCATAGTTGTGAGAGGCACAGCCAGTCAATGAGCTGGGTGTGACCTGTTGTAGGTGTAAGCAGCTCTTTGGGCTTCTCTTACCTGCTGTGGGTGAGCGAATAGTTTAATATTTTGCATTAACTGAGGGGGATTTAATTTTCCCTCTATGTATCTAAACCATGGTCTGCATACTCTGAACAGAGACACTGGAGGAATGGATCCTTGGGTCCTGCAGACTTTTCTTAGGGGAACTTTCAGGGCTCTCACTTGGCTTTTATCTGAATTGAGTATTAGGAGATCTTCTCTGTGCATTCATGTCGTGGCATGGCAGTCAGTAGCTGGGTAGAATTACAAATACCTTTTTTCTGCCCCCATGCTAGGGCTGCCAGCTGCCCTGCACAGCACCTGTCCTTCCCTGGGTAAGGGACAAGGCCAGTCCTCGTGCATTTGCTGCCCTCACTGACGCAGAGGACAAGCATTTTGGGAGGTGGCAGAGGAGGACCTGGCCTCTGGGTAGAGGGGCTTTGATACAAATGGATGAGGTGACGTGACTAAGGTGATTCCGGAAGCCAGAGAGTCAGGAATATGTTGTGTATTTCCCAGCCCTCTGTTTTAAGTGGGATCATAGAGCACACTGATCACTTGTTTATTTGCTGTGTCTGGAGGTATGTGGCACATAAAATGGCACAGGGAAATGATCTAGACTGGTCACATTAGGACATTCTCTCAGGAATTCTGAACTGTGAGGTATTTTTTTTTTCTTTTAGACTACATTATCAAGTTTCATTCAACTATTGACCTGAATTTCAAAGTGATTAAAATTACCACTTTATAAGTAAGAGTAAATTTTATAAGTGAAAGTATTTTCTTTCTTTGGGGGGGGGGGGGGTGGGAAAACTATTGCAATTTAACAGGAACATAAATTGTCCATATCTTTACAGACTATCACAAAACACAGCCCATGCAATGGACTATATGTGGTGCTCCAATGATTGCTTTGACCTCTTAGTAAAATACTCTTTAGCCCAGTATTACTCCTGTTTGTGTAAATAAAAAACCCAGATAGCTTTGGGTTTGAAGTTTATATTTTATGTATTTGGGTCTGAAGTTTGTATTTTAAGTCTTACATGGTCCCCAGCCTGTGGCTGCTACATGAATAGTAAGTCCAAAGTTACATTTTCATGAGTGACTTAAAGAAATGTCTTTGGAACTAAGACCCTGGTCTGAACCTTTCCAGTAACAAAGGGTTGGTCTGTGCCTGCACAGTTACATACAAGTCTGAGGTTACAGTGTAAATTTCTTTTGTTTTGATGCTTTCTAATATGACACTTGCAGTCTGTCTGCTGCAGGATGCTGGCACTCATCCACTGTACTGCTGTACTGCTTCCCTCTGCAGGCAAAGATAAGAAAGGGAAATCCTATCCCTTTACGCGACTGACTTGGGACTGCATTTAAGTCATTCACACACATTTCTAGAGGCTGATGCAGCCGTGGTGATGATGAAGGAGTGACAGGGCACAAGTGCACACAGCACAGCAGATTGGGGACTTGTTTCAATTCCTCCAAATTGCTCAAGTTGTTGTGTCAGAGGCACGTGGCCTTCCTGCATGTCTGTAAGAGCCACCCACAAGACCTCGTGGTCTTTTGCTATTCAGTTACACTCCTGTGGTCAGTTTTATCCATCACCACTGACTTTGCCACTGAAGCACAGATTTGGGCACAGGGGAAGTATGGCAAATATAAAAGAGGTGGCCAAAACCTGCCAAAGAAATGCTTAGAAAACCCACATTAATGGTAAGTGCGACAAGCAATGCAGGGAACAACTGACTAAGAGCATGTTTGATAACATAACCTGTCCTTTTATTTTCACACATGAGAAAAATGGCGGAATACCAGAATAGAGGTTTAAGTGAAACAAAGTAGTGTTAAAAAAATTAAGTCTCAGCAAACCCAGTAACTTGTTGCAGAAGGAGGAGAATTTTTCTTTTGTACTTTTAGGCAAGAAAATCCCAGGCAAACCATGCAAGAAGAAAATTAAATTCCCCATATCTCCTTCTAAACATTTCATTCCATCTCCTTTGTTGCTGCTGTTTTATTGTATTTTAGTCATTACATAGACATTGCCTAAGCTTTCACAGCCCTAGCTAGTTATCTTTAGAGCCCAGGAGAGCTCTAAGGAAATATATTTCCAGTTTATTCCACCTGCCTCTCCAACACACAATTTCTGCAAAAAAGTAAGCTCAGGGTGTATACTTCAATTTACAGAAAAAGGCAATCAGCAAACATGTTACTTACACGTGGTCTTTTCCATTCAAACTTGACAGGGCTTTTCTGGCTGTAGAAAAGGGACGACTCATTTGGGGGGAAATCAGGATCTTCATAGAGAATGTTTTTCTCAAGGCACTTCTTGTGAAGCTCTTCATATGTCTTCTCCTTTACGTGGATAATGGGCTGATTGCGACTAATAATGGCAGAATAAATTCCCCCTGTGCCCCCTCCTGCCCCCTCTGTAGTGCCAGCAGTGCTGCTGGGAACTGACCCAGCAGCCGTTTGCTGAGCCACCACTGCATTTATGGCGGTCGGCATGGGAGTCAGGCTGACAGCAAATGCTGAAAGACAGCAGGATCTTGCAAACTGGAAGGAAATTTCAGAAAAGAGGAAGTTGCTGTGCAAACCGTCTTCTCTGTCCGTTGAAAGCCTTCTAGTCAAATTTGCGAGCCAGAAAATTCCATGTGGTTTTGCATCCTCCTAAAGGACCATATTTTGTCATCAGAAATTGGAATTTGTTGCTTGATGTGGGACAAGATGATCAGTTGGCTCACTCCTGTATCTGAGTTGTATCTACGGCGCGTGTGTGTGCTGTCCTGTGTGTGTAAGTGTCCAGAAGGGACAAGCTTTAACCGTGAAATCTAAAAATAACTACAGGCAAAGAGAGAGGGAAAATGAGAGGGGGGGCATTAGTGAGATGGTGTCAGTCTTCTGTGCAGCTTGTGCCGAGGCCAGGCATGTTCCTGGGACGGGCTCTGTGTGTGGGCTGACGCCTGGTGCAAGCAGTTCATCTTTTCCTTAAGTAGAGGGAACAGTGAAACTGGAAGCTAAACTCCTGCTGGCTTAGGAACATTACGTACAAAGTACTGCCAGGCAATGGTCCTGACACTACTGAAAGAACTGTTCTACTTGACTTGTTTCTACCCTTTGTGGCAGAAAAGATAGAGACAATTTTTTGCTCCTAGAGGAGATGATCAGCAGACACTTCTAATGTTGAAAAAGGAGCTATTTGATGCTACTGAGGTCAGGTCACTTGCCATCTCTGTTTGGTTCCTCTGGAGAGCAGCTTAGCAACACTAAGATTCACCTTATAATAGCTAACTTCCATAAAATAAGCAACTTTTTGTGTAAACTTTGAAACATTTATAGAGCCTAGTGTGGAAACTGGGCTATTCTCTATGTGTTAGGATATACCAAAGTTAAAGGAAACATCTGACTCTACACATTTATTTTTCATACAACAGTGGGATAAGGGACAAATTCACAGCCCCTGTGAGCAAAAATCTAAACACATATTGCTTTTCTTTGTAACCCAGTTCCTTAAAAGATGACAATATTTATAAGTCAAGAAAAGCACAGTAATACCTTGATTTTTCTTTATTGGGAAGTCTTCAATCACAGGTTTACATCAGTTTTATTTTTGCCTAATGATACTAATTTCTGGCTAACATATACATTGCTGACCTTCTGGCCTAGGGCTATGACATTTTCCAAAGCACTGAAGGGTTTTTTTCTTCAGCCATTTGCTCAGTTTACACATTTAAAATCAACAGTATAGTGGACAAACTCTACAGCTCATTACAGAAAACTCCCCTGGAGAAACTTTTAAAGGAGGTAATATAAAGTTGGCAAGCTTGAGTAACCTCTAGGAATATTAATCATCAGTCATTTAGGCCATTTAGGTGGCCTAAATCCTTTTCTTTTTGTCATGAATACAAGCCTTCTTGCACCAACAGGGCAATTGAAAAAGACAGATTCAAGCATTTGTGAAAATAGGAATGCAATTGCTTTAGGGTAGGTTCTTCAGATGCAGAATTGATGACTTCCTCCTTACATTTAGATGCTAGGATTGCAGGTCTCATATTTGACATTACATTGCAGGACAGCTTGGCAGAGCCATGTGTCACTCTTTCCAAGATAGGCAAATATTGAGACACAAGGGCCTTTCACTGCACAGTTCAGCAAAGTGCTCATTTTGCAGCCTGTGCATGTGTTTTTTCTTTCCTATTCTCCCTTCTTGCTCAGTGCACCCCTTATATACCGAGCAGTGTTTCTGGAAGAATTGCAGGGGTATGACATTTGAGAAACTCTTTGTGGGCTGCTGGGGAGGATCATGTGAATGATTAGCAGTGTTTTGTTTTTTTGTTTTTTTTTAATTGGGATTGTCAGCAAGTGCCAGGGTATGACCTGCTGCTACTGCTAGAGCTAACAGATCAGCCAGTGCCTGCATATGGAATGGCAGGTGGACATGCACTTCTCACTTCTACACCAATGCTGCTTTTTAGGCATGTTCAGGAGTTACACCTGTTTAAAATACAATTTCTCCTTTTCTTATTTCATACTGGAAAGATAAGTTTGTTATGTAGGATTTTGGCCTTTTTTACAGGAGCTGCTAATAAAAGACAAATGGTGTCTTTAAATAAACACAATTTTCCATAGAGTACAATGGATGTGCTGTCTAATACTAACAGCAAAACAAATACTCAGGAATTAAATCCTGTATGTGATGGAATTTCCTGTAAGCAGAAGTACTCAAATAGCTGACCTGTTCAACAGTAACAATGAATTAGTGAATTAATCTAAAATGTTAATGTTGCTATTTAATTTGTATGGAGTTTTCTCTCCAGTTGTTTTCACTAATAGAACTATTTTTTTAATAAAGATATACTAAAAATTTATTTCTTCATTTATGGCATAAATACGTGAAAAAATATGTGAGTTACTACAAACAGCAATGTAAATCATATTCTTTGAAATTTATCAGATCTAAAGACCCAACTCTTAAGATTTTCAGCAACTAATTTCTACTGAAATCCACAGATGTTAGGAACTTCATACCACTGAAAATCTGACCCATCAGTACTTATCAGTGCAGATATCTTACTGAGGGCCAGAGAATAAAGGCAAGTCATTAACATTCACCAGGTACCCTTGGAAGAATACTCACTAGTGATTCTTAGCAGTAGAAAGAAGGTTGGAAGGAAAAAGGCATGTAACTTGCTTCATTGTTACTTTATTTCACTTTCCAATTTGAGAAATAGCAGTTAAAATATTTTATTAAATTACCCAAGACGATAACTATATCTTGTCAGAAGCACTGCTATACTTAAACACAGTAAGAAATCATCAATCAAAGCTTAGAAGTTGATAGAAAAATAGAGTCTGTCTCTCTTTTCACAGATGCAAAAGATCTGTTTGCTGCTATTCTACCCGGATTAGCACATTTGCATTAAGCACAACAGTATTCATACTGCCAGTTCCTGGAGTGGAGGCTCACACTGTCTCCTGGAAGGTGCTGACAAATAGCTCTGCAGAATATAAAAGAAGAGAGCTAAGGGTCTGGTGGGGAACAAACTACACTTGAGTAGTCAAGAGCACTCACAGTTTGCTCTCATGCTTGCTGCAATCTGCAATCTGCCCTACAGAGGACAAACAGCAGCAGGTGGGAATGACAGCGGGGATTAGTAATGTTATGTTACCTTTAGCTGGCAAAAATGGTGACCATCCTTCTGTTTCCTATGAGTTAATTTATCATGTCTTTAGAAAATACTTCCTTATCTTACTAAAAGGAATAAAATTAACTAGAAATCCAGAAAAACCAGAAACCCAACTGATGGCATGTTCAGATTTGATTCAAAGCAGAACTGGTTTGAAAATAATATAGCTGACAAGTTTAGCAAATAGAAAGGTAAACAAACTCTGTGGAGCAATGGCAGCCTGTGAAAAGAGATGCCTAAGATGGAAAAGCCTGAGGGAACAGGCAGGATGTAATGGATGTGAGACTCAGGATGTCTCTGTTTGCAAGCAAAGCAAGCATCAAAACATACCAGTTCTGTTTGCAGAGATAGTAGGAAAAGAAGGCAAGGGAACATTAGGCTGAGTTGTAAGAGAAAGTGGGATGCCTGCACACAGAATTAATCCCATTAAAATTAAATTTGGCTTCATAAATGCCTAGTTCAAATCTCAGCCAGATACTAAAAAGTGACAGGACTAAAACTTTTCTAAAGGAAGCCAAAACTTGGCAGGACTTGGAAGATCTGGGAAAGCATAGCTCCTTCACTGGGCTGCCTTTAATCAATGACATTCAATCATCAATGCCAATTCTTTCCTAACAGAAAACTTTTTTTTTAAGTAGTACCTGTGCCCTTTTGAAATCCAAGTTTCAAAGCTGGCTGTTAGGGAGCCTTCTGCACCACCACATTACTGTCTTCTGTTATTGCACAAACGAATGGCACAAGCTACCCAACCCTCACCTCCAGTGCCTGAGCTCTTTGGCCAGCCTGCTGTTTACTTTCCCGTGCAGACCAGCTAATTTTGCGTTGCCATAAGGACTGGAAAGCAGAAGTGTCTGTGATCACACTGGGTGGCTCCTTCTGTGTTTGTTTTCAGAAGGCAGCTGGCAGGCAGAACTCTGGTGATAACCTCTGTGTCTGCCATACCTGCTGATGCTGCTTGTTGCACTGGCCCAGATCTCCTCAAGTGCAACAGCCTCTGAACAGTGTGATTTTCAAATACTTACATTAAGGCCTGTGCCAACAAGCCACAATCTCACTCCACCAACTCATAATTTTTTATTGTAAGTGAAGGCAGAACTGAAGCTTAATGCTTAACTGAAACAAGCCTAATGCAAATAGTATTTAGCTTATTTCCCCAAAGATACAATCCTAGTGCTATTACTTTTGCTGAACAGAAAATTTATCCAAGTCCAAATTGGTGCTTTAAAAGAAAAACTGTAAGAAATGTTAGTTTGGATGTGTTGGTGGAAAATATGTTTGTTGATTTAACTGGAATCAAGTGAACATCTGAAGTCCTCTCAGTTTATTTCTCCTCAGCCTCTCAATGGACAGTTTCTCTGAAGAAGTTGTATCTTCTTTCAGCTGATACAGATCTCCCAGTCAGCATCAACACTCAGGGCTAAGTTTTCCAGCATCAGTGCGAAGGTCTTCGTATCATATGTGAAAACCACTTCTTTTTTTTTTCCATCTGAACAGGACAAGAGAGTTTTCTATTTAATTTAAGAAGAATTCTTCTGAAACACAGCTACATGTGACTCTGCAGTTTTTAGTTCTGACTATCTCTGCTACTGATGGAAAGGAATGATTAAAAAACAAATAGAAGTCAAATCTTCCCAGCACACATATAAGAATGCAGTGGAATAAGAAAGTAAATATTTCTTTTTTTCTGATCTTTCAAACTATGGTACATCAAACTATGGAACTACTTAAGAATTTTTCTGAAAAAAAATCACCCTGGTTTTTGCACAGGTGTTCCTCCAGGCACCCTTGACAGGTGGAGGCAGAAAGTACATTTCCCTATGA